CATGGGTTCATATGGAAGGAGCACAGGTATCGAAGACCTAGTCGACACCAGTAGAGAGCATGGTCGTAGTGCAGTCTCCATGGAGACCATGGACTCCTATGGACTCACATGCAAAGGAGGGCCAAGCACAGCCACGAGGAGGACCAAGCTCAAGGAGCAGGCACAGCCACGAAGAGGACCAAGCTCAAGGAGCATGCAGATGGTTACCACTCAGGGGCTCGAGAGACAAGAGCCAAAGGAACTGTCACTGATCAAAGGAGGAGGAGCAGTGTCGAAGGAGTCGACACCAGGTCATGAGGAGGAGGAGCAGTGTCGACAAGAGGCACAGGGGTGCCAAGCAGGAGAGGCCCCTGAGCAGTACTCGATGAAGAAGGTACTCTCTGGAGAGAGAGCAGGAGCAGCATCGCTGGCAATGCTGTGAAGAGGTATATAACCATGCTTTCTCATCATCATAGGTCGAGTGGATCCCCATCCACTCTACTCACCATACAACTAGTCAATACTTTAGAAACACAAGTACTCATTAGTTACAGTCAGCATAGCAGCAATCTATCAAGGTTGCTCCTCATCGTAGTGTGTGTGTTGTATCACCACTACCTGACGTCCGAAGGCGCCCATAGCAGGTTAGCGGTCCGGATATAGATAGAACCGAAGGCAGTAGTCCACTGCAGTCCGGGGATCACTTCAAAGCATCAAGTCAACACACTGGACACTCGTGTTGACGCCACCAACCTTATCACCAACACCATCAACCTCATTATCATTGACATCACCAATCTTATCATCAACACCATCAACCTCATTATCATCGACATCACCAATCTCATCACCAACACCATCAACCTCATCATCGTCAACACCCACACCAGACCTTGGTGTCATCATAACATTGATATTGATCGTGCCGAGCTACCCCTGAACGGAGTGTCCACAGAGGTCAGCCGAAACCTACGATAGTATATACAACAAACGCCACCTGCTGTCACTGCACAACTTGATAGTCACCGATACCGAGACAATAGCTGTCACACAGTTTAATAGTCACCGAGTATCTCGACAGACCGACCTGGGTTTCAGGCGCGAGACCCCTGACAGCCTGCCTGCCTTACAATGCCGTTCTTTAGCATGGCTTCCCTTACTTCTTGTGGATGGAAGGTCCTTGTGCTGCTTCATTATCAATAGGGGCCCTCCCCACTTCATCTGAGTGGTGACTTGCACCCCCCTACCATCTCACCCATTCTCCTGCCCTGAGTTCATCAATTTGCAGGCCCCTGCTTCATCTGAGTGGCAGACCCAGATGTCCTTGCCACCTGTTCTGTTGTGAGGCCTGTGGACCTGGTGTCCTTTTGCCAGTTTCCACAAGATCTATCATATGATCATGATACTACAGATCCTGGCAGGATTCGTGGTACAATCTCTGCTCCTGCCGAACTGGGCAAGATCTGTCATAGCGCCTGTCATGGGCCTGGATGCGCAGGAAGCAGGAGGATCTGTCGATTCATATGAAGGTAGCACAGGAATCGAGGGATCAGGCAGATCATGGGACTTGCAGAAGAGTTCACCAAGATCTGTGGAAGAAACAGCTCTATGGCAGATCTCACCAAGATCAGCATGAGCCAAGATGGTATCACAAATTACACCAGGATCTGTAGTAACAAAGATTGTATGACATGTTCCATGGAGATGAGGGGCAAGGACAATCATACAACAGATTCAGTATAAACTAAGTGGCAAGGACATTCAGGGTTGCCACCAGATGAGGTAGGGACTCTCTGTCAGAGGTTGCGCACCTGAAACCTGAGATCTGTAGTAGGACCACTTCTATTACAGATCCTGTCGAGATATGTGATTGTATATGTAGTATTACAATTCTCATCAAGTTATGCCATAGTGATGTCCTTATGACTTTACTCACTCAAATCTGTGATTGGGGTTGTGCTATTGCAGATTTCAACTGACCACTGTGGACACTCCATCCAGAGGTAGCTCAGCACAATCAATAATGATATGAACTGTACTGACACCAAGGTCTGGTGTGAGTATGAATGCTTGGTGGTGTTGACATGAGTGTCCAGTGTGTCGACTATTGCTTGAGGTGATCCCTGGACTGCAGTGGACTACTGCCTTCAGTTCTATCTTGAATCCAGACCACTGGTTTGCTATGAACCACCTTCGGATGTCAGTGAGCAGTGATACAACACATGCACTACAATGAGAGGCAATCTACTTGATTGTGACTAAGCTGACTGAAACTAATATGTACTTATGCTTGAAGTATTAACTAGTTGATATGGTGTAGAGTGGATGGCAATCCACTCACTTGTTGCGATGAGGAGCATGGTTATATACCATGCCTGCAGCATTGCCTGTGACACTGCCCCTCCTCCTTGTCCCTCCTATCTGTCCTTCTTTGAACTAGGTATCGATTCCCTCAACACTGCTCTTCCTCCTCATAACCTGTTTGCTAGTGTCCTTGTCACAACTCTTCTTCCTCCCACTGGCAATGGTTCTCCTGGTCTTTGTCTTGTGACCCTCTGAGTGGTAACCAGCTGCATGCTTCTGAGCTTGGTCCCCTTCTTGGCAATGCTTGGTCCTCCTTCACATGTGAAGTTCACCATATGACTGTCTTTGCCACAGAACTCTGTGGAATTTGCCATATGATCATGCTTACTGCAGATTCTGGTGGGATTCATGATATCAACTTTGCTCACACCAATCTAGGTGAGATCTGTAATAGAGCTGTCTCTACTACAGATCTCAGTGAACTCTGCTGCAAATCCTACGATCTGCCCAATTCCTTGATTCCTGTGCTCCCTTCATATGAATCGATGGATCTTCCTGCTTCCAGCGCATTCAGACCCGTGACACTCTCCACAACGATGAAATCAGTGTGAGGAGATGGGGGACGAAATCAGGAGGTGGATGGACGAAGGGGGGGGGGGGGTGCATTGTCATTTGGATGAAGTGGGGTGACCCCTATCAGCAACGAGATGATACTGACTCTCCTGTACTCAGGAGCAGGAGAAGCAGTGCTCAGCAGTGGGGTGGTGCATTGGTAAAAGACCTCTGCCACAGTACTTGACAAAGATAGTGCCCTCTGGAGAGAAAGGGCCAGAGCAGAGTTGCAGGCAACACTGCAAAGATATATAAACCATGCTGTCTCATCATAAGTGGTTGAGTGGATCCTCATCCACTCTACACCATACACAACTAGTTATCACTTAGCACAAGTATACATTAGTTTCAGTCAGCAAAGTTGCAATCAAGTAGATTGCTTCCCTTGTAATGCATGTGTTGTATCACTGCTCACTGACATCCAAAGGCAGTTCATAGCAAACCAGCAGTCCAGATAAAGATAGAACTGAAGGCAGTCATCCACTGTGGTCTGGGGATCACCTTAAGCACTCAGTCAACACACTGGACACTCATGTCAACAACATCAACTATCTCAATCACACCAGACCTTGGTGTCCTGCAATACATTCAAGTTATTGATTGTGCTGAGCTACCTCTGGATGGAGTGTCCACAGTGGTTAGTCAAAACCTGCAATAGCAAAACCATTGCTGCATCTTCAGGTGAGAAAAGTAATAGAGGTGTCTCTACTACATATCTCAACAAGAATCATAATACCTCTAGCATTGTCACATATCCCAACAGGATTCATAATAGACATGTTTCTATTACAGATATCAGGTTTTGGGCACACGACCTCTGACAGCGCCTCTCTACTACATCTCTCAATGAACTCTGTTGTAAAACCCTCGATTTGCCCAATCCTCGATTCCTGCGCTCCTCCTCATATGACTTCTGCTTCTGCGCATCCGGTCCCATGACAGTAGGCAGTGTTCTTCACTGTGGTCCAGTCTCTCTCCATCTGTAGGCAATACACTATTGCGGTACAGATACGTTCCTTCATCATTAAACGTCTGTCAGCATTACGAACACTTGTGCTGTCACAGACGATGATCTATTATATCTAGGTATAGCATCAGCAAGACAATAACATTAGCAAGACAATAACATCTACGATTGTACCACATAGCCTCTGAACAGAGTGTTCATGGCAGTCAGTCAAAACCAATCAGAAGTGAGCCTTCTGATTCCTTTCACTGAAACAGTTCGAAAGGAGCTTACTTGATTGATCTCACCGATATCAACCGGAACCACCGAAATTGGGTTTCAGGCGTGCAACCGCTGACAGTTATGATGCGGATCTGAGCAATGGTGGTGGGTGATGATGAGTAACAGTGGTGGGTGATGATGAGCAATGACGGTGAGCGAGGTTGGCGAAAATGTTAGAGGGAAGTGGAGAGAGTGAAAACACATGACCTCAACATTTCGCTCTAACATGTTCGCCAACCGCGCTCAGCGTCGTCACTCATCATCACCCACCAAGGCTACTCAGATGCACGTCAACACCCCCTTGCCCCTATTGTGATAGCACGCAATCATACATGTCACTTCATTCATTCCAGGCACCCACACACTAGTCATGGGGAGGGATAATATGCTTTTCATTGCCTGGTAGCTAGTTGCTCTCAATCATCATCGCGATTGCTGTCTGTCTCGCTGCTGCTCGCTTGTGTATTCCTCAAGAATGCCAAATATATATGTCTCTACCGATGGTCAGTGTGTGGGTATGTGAAATGAAGCGATAGAGAGGATTGCGTGCTATCACAATAGGGATAGGAGGGTGTTGACGAGGATCTGAACAACGGTGGTGGGTGACGATGAGCAATGGTGGTGGGTGATGACGAGTAACGACGGTGAGCGAGGTTGATGTAAATGTTAGAGCGAAGAAGAAGGTCACGTGATTTTTATTATCAGATCTTTCTGTCAAGTCTCATTTTTCGAAGATGTCTGTGAACGTTTGTGTTGTGAGGGATATGAAGCGAGACACAGAATGTTGGTGTATTGAGTGCAAGGCGAGAGAGGGCGAAGCGAAGAAGACTTGTAGATGAGGTAGCAGCAGCTGTGCAGCTCAACGTTTGATGTCGAGTTATGTTTCAGGCAACATGAAGGACTGGAAGGGGCGAGGCGTCGAGCTGCGCGCATGCCTCGAATGAGCACTAGACCCGGCAGAGCTGGCAGAAGACATACGCCTCGGAATGGGGTTGTTGAGATACCAGTCACTTAGACTTCGTGCCGGTGCAGCTGGTAGGTCTGGCAACGAGGGTCGCATAAGCTCGTCATCGTCGCGATCAAGGACCTCTTCGTATGGAGAGATGGAAGAGGAGCTGGATGGATAGTGCAGCGAAGGCCGTCTGTGTTCGTATCCTGCCGGTGGAGTAAGAGCGACTGGCGAGGGTCTGGACAAGGTCGAGATGGTTGCTGATCGCAGCCTAGTGATGCGAGAAGATACGGTTCTCATTTCGCGATCTTCTAGGGGGCGAAGGTTGCGGACTGGGCTGGAGAGTCGACGTGCATGAATGCTGGAAGAAGTGGTTCGAGGTACTCCGGCTCGATGATGCTCGTGCATGGATCTGCGATAGGGATTGGGGAGGTCATAGGACTCTCTGGTACCCTCGGCAACTCTGTAGCGAGGCAGAGAGCTGGCCTCGCCATGTCGTCTGTATGGCTCTGGACCACGTTGAAACTCTGTCGCGCTGGAGAGGGTGTGTGTGCCCTCATCGGGTGGGGAAAGGGATGAGGCGCTCGCTGAGGGTGGCCACAATGAAGATAGCTGGACGATGGAGCTCTGAGCCAGTGAAGTAGGCTTTTCGAGATCGGGACAGTATGCCCAATAGTGGCCCTTGCCAAGCTGGCCATGCTCTCGCTCTAGCTTGATGAAGTATGGCTGGGTGGAGAGGTTGTGTCGAAGAGTGTTCTGTGGAGGTGAAGAGAAGCGGCGCGTCAGCGGCTTGATGGAGCAAGAAAGGGAGAAATGGTTAAGGAGGAGAGCGGTTATACTTACTTTCCAGCCAGCCCCCTTGGGCGAGGCAGCAAAATGTGGGAACTTTGCTTCAAGATCGTGGTAGAGCTGAATGAGAGTGAGCTTGCCCTCATGTCGCTTGAGAATACAGAGCTTGATGAGTTCGGTGTATGGATGAGGAGGCCTCGTTTCGACACTTCCCGGATCGAGCTTGTCCCACACCTCCTGAAAGTGCTGTGATCGAAACAAGCGGGACATGGAACGACCTTCAGAAGTTGTCATCGCGTGAGCATAAGGATCAGGCGAGACGAGCGTTGCAGGATGGCCAAAGCGTGTCGGAGAAAAGTCATGCATTGGATCGTAGTCGCCTTCTGGGGGAGACTGGAGCGAATACGAGTCAAAGTCGAGTGATCGGCGATTGTCGTTCAGGTTGCCGTTTCGGAAAGGTGGCAATGGAGCAAGACTGTCGGGGATGGGTAAGAAGGTGGTGCTTCGCGAGCATCCTGCTGACATCGAGGTCATCAGATCCCGTGGCTGAGAGAGGTACATGACGTGCTAGGTGCTTAACAAGATGATGATACGCGCTGGAGCAAGGAGGGAGGCGCCTAGAAAGATGGCCTGGAATGCAGTATGATGAGCTAAGGGATCGGAACGCTCTGCAATGTGCAGTTGGCGACAAGAGTATGTGTCGTCTTGGCGCGTGCTCAGGAACTGGGTGGGAATGACAGGTAGTTTGTAGCTCGGTTCAGAAGCAAACATGCGATGAGGGTCTTTATAAGCTGGAAGATGTGGAGCTAGCCTATGCCGCTGTTTGGTGCGCAGCAGAAGGCGTAGACTCGGAAGATTGGAGCAACCTGGTAAAGCAGGAGACATGAGAGGATATCTCTAGCACACCGGAACGAGGTGCATACTGCCATGTAGACAAGATGGCATTTCGAGCTCATAAGCGGAAGCAACGCTGTCCCATCGCACTTCCCCAGATCCTTTCTGAAGAATGATGCAAAGAGAAGACAATCGGACTCGAGTTTCATTCCTTTCTGCAAGCCATGCCAAGAGGGCGACGGTGCAATGCACTTTGTTTGTCCCGCCAGAGAGGCCCAGAAAGAAAAAGGGAAAAAGAAATCAAGAAATCATCACAGTAACAAAGAAGGAAAAAAGAAAAACGAAAAAGGAAAAGAAAAGAAAAAGAAAAAAGAAAAAAGAAAAAAGAAAAAAGAAAAAAAAAAGAAAAAGAAAAAGAAAAAGAAAAAAGGATCGGATCGTCAATGCGCGAGACGTGTGTCGACAGGTGTCAATGCAACTGTGTGGGAGGTCTTGACTGATAGCGATGCAGCAAGTGCTAAGCGGAAGCAACAGCATTGTTATCGATAGGGCCAGAGTAGGTCGGGAAGCTGCAAAGGTAAGATGCGACGGAGCTTGTCGGATCTGCCAACAGATGTTCCCACGCTCTTTGGAGCGGTGCTCATTGTGGGCGTGTTCGGATGTGCATGGCTAAGCCTCTGAATCTGCTGACTGCCAACTGAAGCTGCTCAAGTCATCAAGAGCAGCTGAAATTGACAGGAAACATGGTGAGCTGAGGCATAACGGACAACGGTGGTGTCCGTACTTCGTTTCGAGCCGTGAGAACGCTTCAATTCCTCTCGGCCAACTTTTTTGATGTTCATTAGGTTGGATGCGCTTTGCCAGCCTTGTCCCTACGCACCATTCTGCACCTTGCTTCTGCGAGACCCACGATTCTGCAGCACTCGAATGAAGCTTTAGGCTTTCCAGCTTTTCTTTGCTGTCCAAAACAGCTCTCAAATTCTGAGCTTAGCAGGGGCCAAGCTGGCAACCTCTCCTCTTCACTCGCTCGCCCAACCCATTCGGAAGCAAGAGCTGTGTGATGCTACTCTTTTTTCTTTTTTTTTTTTTTTTTTTTTTTTTTTTTTTTTTTTTTTTTTTTTTTTGGGACTACCCAATCGTTACCACAAGTTGTCGCTGTAAAACAAGCAAAGGCAACAGCCGATGCTTGCAACTTTCACCAGCCTGGCGAATTTCGTTTGCTGCTGCGACTGTCTACTACTCGTCTGTCACATTAGATTTAAGCTTAAGCTCGACCGTGGTTTCCGAGTGAGTCAGAGAAAAGCTTGCGGAAGAGCCGAAAGAAGATCTTTTCTGTCGCGTTGCCAAAGGCTCAGCTTGCAAGCATACCAGCGCAATTAGCACTGACTTGCCTTGGTTCGAGATGGCATCACTTGGCTCTGGTCACCAATCTCTGCAATGACAATGCCACAGATCTGACGCCTGCACGAGCAGAAAAGTAATGTCGTGATGCTGATGTTTTGTTCTGATTGGGTAGCGGCACTCTACTCTAACTTCAGCAAGTGGCAGAGCCTGTTTTGGCCGGCCAATTCTGAGCAGCCCACTTGCTCATCGACTCGACAAAGAATTCGACAACCGTCTTTGGCAAGCAGGAGGCAAGACAAGACTCTACTTGCACGTCGACTCCGATGGAGGTCTAGTTTGAAGCCGGCCCGCAACCAACCAGGCTCAGCGGTGCCTCTGAAATGTTGGAGCAAGCCTAGCCATCTATCTCAAAGGCACTCTGATCTTTGACATTGACCAGTTTGCACATTGCTGGAGCAAGGAGTATGCTTGTTGGATGCTATCAGATTGCCGCTCATCTCGTCGACAAAAAGCTTGACACTCTTAAAGAAAGCGTCACGGTAGTCCGCTGTCTCGCAGGTGGGACTGGTTGCAAGCAAGCTCAAACTCTGCTTCTTGGCATTGACTTTGAGAGCGTGATTCTATATTGTCGTTCGGAAGCCATCCGTCTTTGGACAAGCAAGACTCTGAACTCAAAAAAGCATATGTCCACCATAACCTTGGCCGAACAAGGCCGACTTGACACCGAGTCAAGTGTTTACTCAACCACCACCAGCCTTGAAGCCTTGAAATCTTGCACCCTTGAAAATCTTGCACCCTCGAGACAAGCTGATCACTTGATTGCACGTGCAAGTGCAAGATTGCGCTGAGAATCAACAATGATGCTATCAAGCTCTGCTCCTCGTGCTTACAAGCTCAAGCTAGATCAGCCTTGCTCTCGAGCATTCCCACACTCTCGCAAATGAGACAAAGCAGCGACAAATGCCCGGTAATGCATCTCTGCGGCAGAGTCTTGGAAGGATTCGGGCTGCACCGTTTGCGCCTCTGTACCTTGTGCGCATCTTTCTCCAACTGTTTGGAGGCACCCTACCGACTTCATCTCTTCCCCAGCAAGCTTTGCAATTTCAAAAACGCCGTGAAAAGATGCGAGAAAAGCTTGGTTGTCTGGAGCACAGCCATCCGAATGATACTTCCGAAATCAAGTCCCTTAACTCTCTCTTGGCATATGCGCCTGACAATAACACCCTCTATCCTCATGACACATCAGCATCCTGCCATTCTCGAACACGGCGGCAACAGCTGAACCGACTTTCGGAACACTCTATTGCCGCTCTGCCATGCTCTTCCCTGACAACCGTTTCACTTGCGCACTCAATCTTGCACGTTGTCGCCAAATACTTGCTTTGCGTGAGAATGCGGCACTTGGAGCCTCGAGCGCACATGTTCATCAGCACGGACCTGAGTTACTCTTGCCTTGTTCTGCAATTACTTTCTTGCTCTTGGTCCAATCAGAGATACAGGCAGATGTCCATCTCCCATCGCTCCCCGCCGTCGAGTGCAAGATTAGATCAGAGGTCAATTAGGATCGCACGATTTCCCATCCGAGTCGCTTCCCTGCCCAGAAGGGTACCACTTGCACCTTGCTTCCATCGCAATCAGCCACCTCTCGGAATTTGCGATGCACGTATACTGCAGGAACGATTGCTGCTGACCATCCGCTCTCCACCTTGCGAAGCTTGATCCTCCCTTTAGCCATTTCTTCCGCATCGTCGTAGCCGTAGAACTTTCTTCCATTCAAACTAACGTAGCTGGCCAACTGATCCAGTGCACCGAAGCTTTCCAACAGTGTTGCGCAGAGAGGAATAAGGATTGATGACGTGTAGACACCGGCAGCACAGCCACACGAGACTACACCCCTCGCCTCAACCTCTTCTCCGCCAGATGATGATGCCTTGATACCGGGAGCACCGTGGGTCACCGCAGAAGGGTACTTGTTGGCCAATGGATGCGGCGCCGAATCCGAGCCAAGGAAGAAGCGTGCATGTCCTGTCGATTGCAACCGCGGGCTCAAACAAGGCAAACGTCAATCTTTGCTCGCTCGCAGCTCAAGCTGAAATCTGCTGGGACCTTTGACCTACCTTGACGAATGACCTCGCGCAATGCTTGTCGGTCATCGGGATACTTTGCAACCGGCTTGCAGAAGTTGAGCGGCTTTCCGGCCCAGTCGTCTACAATCAGCTCGAGGTGGTGGGGTGTGATAGTGCATCCGACAGTGTCTCCGCACTGCTTGACAGCCTCGACCGCCTTTCTTGTCGTCGCATGCTCGAGCACGATCTTGAGTTTTGGGAATTGGCCGTGGATCTTGAACAAGTGCGTCAAGAACTTCTCTTCGGCGTTTAGGAGGCAGATGCCCACATCGGCATTCGATGGGACCTCTCCATGCAAGTTGAGAATCATGTTGTGCTTCTGCATCTCCTCAAAGATCGGGTAGTAGCTCTCGTAGTCCTCGATTCCACTGTCCGAGTTGGTGGTCACACCGCGAGGGTAGCTCTTGACACCACGGACACCATTCTGTGCTGCCTTTGCGATCTCGGCAGGTGTCAGGGCAGGAGAGAGGTATAAGGTGCCAACGAACTTGGTCTTTGGGGCAAGCGCCTGGAGCGACTGCAAGTATTCCGTCGCTTGCTGTGCCGAGGTGATGGGAGGTACCAGGTTGGGCATCACATAGGCCAGAGATACTCCACCTTGGGCGACGTGCGGGGTAACGAGTTCCGACATCTCGCCCTGTCGCAGATGCACGTGAAAGTCGGCCGGAGCCGGCACGGTGATCTCTTGTGCTGACATGTTCGGAAGTGACCGAGATTGACGAGGACGATGATGGTGAAAGATTGTTGCAAGCAAGCCAGCTCGATGTCAAAAGCATGTCGTCCCTCACTTTGGCGCAACGAATGAGAAGCGAGAAGAAATGCCGAGTGCACACGCTTTCTGTTTTTCGCACTCTGCAATTTTGGTTCAGCTTTTTCCAATCAATCCAACGCGTATATGGCCGCTCTACTTGCCGCTCAACATCGGCGCTGACAGACGAGGTTTAGACTGCATCTGACACTGCTTCGGTACATACAAACCTCTTTTGTGACGGCCGTTGTTGACACGTAAGGTAGCCAATCAGAATATCTTTATCAACTGAACTACGTCGTAAGAGGAAGATCTAGATACAAAGCTTTCCAGATCCTTGAGTGGTCGATCATGAACTCTGAACAGCAGCTTATCCGAGACGCAGACCGAGGACAAGACCGGCCATGAAGGTGGCTCGCGGCTGGAAGTCGGCCATGAGAAAGTTGGCCGTCCTATTCCAGATGCGCTGGAGGGTGCTACCAGAGTATCCTCCAACATTGGTGGTCTCGGGACCAGCAGCACTGCCGACAAGTTTGTCGTATCGAGAGTTGATGGCGGACCAGTTGACAGCAATCAGCCTTTGGCTGTTGAGGTACTGGAGGAGGACATAACAGCCACCTAGAAGGAAGGCGATCAGCTTGAGTCCCTTCTTGATGAAGACGCCAGCGCAGACACCGCAAATAGTGCCGAAAGAAAGCTGATACACGTTGACAATGCTTTGAGGTTCCGTGGCGACTGCAGTGTCATCCTTGACGACAACCGGAGTGGAAGCGGTTGCGTAGGGGCGAGCAGGTTCGCACTGAACACTCTGAAAGCCGAAAGCGCTCAGACCGGCGGCAGCAATCAAAGAGCCACCTCCGAGCATCAGAACCATTCGTGCTGTTGAGCCTGAGCTCGACGTTGCAGACGCAGCTACTGCGCGAGGTCGGATGTTACGGCTGGCAGCCTCGAAGCGCAGTCGTGGGTCGATGCGCTTTCCGTAGTATGTGCGAACTTGTTGAGGCATGCGCATACTCAAGCCCACCCTGGCCTCGGCCATGGAGGCAGCCTGATGTCACGAGTCGAAAAGTTCAAGCACAAGGTCAGAGATCAGCATGCCTGCACTGCCGCCAGAGAGACAGAATCCTTGCAGATAGCAGACTTACCCGACAGACTTGCGGGACTGTGCGCATCAATGGAAAAGCATTCATCTTGGGTTTGAAAGAGTGTGCCTTGGACGATGTCGATGTTCCGATGAAACTGGTGGCGGATCATCATGTCGAGATTATCGTCGTATTTGCTTGTGTATCTCTAGAAACCCGGCCTTGTTTCCGCAGCGTCAACCTCCACATCGACAACACACAGCATCACAGCGAAGCGTGCCAAGGCGACTCAACTGCCATTCTTGTGTCTATTTTTGACAATCATAGGTCGGAAGAAACGCTGCCTTTCGAGAGCCTCGGACTCAAGCATCCTTTGTGTGTAAAAGCTCTTCGTCCACACAACGTCGACATATTTGTCTCAAGCAGAGAAAAGTTCATGGCCCAGAAGCTTGATGAAAGGAGAACTCTTGTGTGCATGCAGAACGGATCAGTACCCGGGTAATCACTGTGCTTGCAGAAATCACCGTCTCGAAAATCTATACAATCGCCATAACTCGTCCATCTCTCGATGAATCTTGCTCCAAATTTGGGGAGGACGCTTGCCTCCGAATTTCCTCTTCCTGGCTGCCAAAAAAATTGGCAAAATGTTTCGATTCGAGGGCTACTACGGGATTCGAACCCGCGACCACCTCTATTTAGAGCCTCTTTTTGCAAGTGTGATGCCACACTGGGTATTGCCCGAAAGAGGTATCCTACCACTGGACGAAGCAACCTCTCTTTAATTTAACAAGTTCAGCCTTTGTGTACATATACAGTGTCGCTGTCACCGATGACCTCCGAAGGAGGCTTCTCATTGTTGTAAGCCGGTCAAGAGTCTTGACTCAGCTCAATTTTGTCAGAGATGCTTCAGACGAGGACACAAAATGACAACGTGATGCTAGATGAAAAGCAAGTCTCCGCGAAGAGGCGCAAAGAGAACGTGTGACATATCGTGAGGATTGCAAGCATTTGTACAAATTACAACCACCGTATCAGTGCCGTTCACAGAGGAGATCAGGCAAAGTGGCCTGCACGGACAAGAGTGCGAGCAAAGCTGTCTGGAAGACAAACGACGATGTTGAAAAGAGGAACGATCGGCTGGAAGGAAGGACCAATGTGAGCGTGGCTAGGAGGAACACCGTTTGAGTTGAAAATGTCGAGACCTGTTGATCCAGGTGGCAACACAGAACAGACCTTCAGATCGCGCGGGTTGATGTTGATATTGTGCCATCGTACGTTCAGATAGTGGAAAGAACCACGCGGTGGAGAGCTTGGCATTTGTGCTATGCCCATCCCGACCGCATGGTTAGGAAGCGGCTGAGTCTGAACGCCGCGCACAGCCTAAACCTGAAGCGGCAGGTCTTGGACATGGTTGAAGCACATGACAATCGCAGGCTTTTCAAGTCGTTTAGGCACGATGCTCAGAGCACGCAACAAAATCATAACTTTGGTGTTTCCTTACATCTGCGGCCATAGAACCTTGAAAGCACCGCATCCCGTCCGATCTGCGAAGTTAAGCAAGGTATCGCCTAGTCAGTACTGCGGTGGGGGACCACGCGGGAATCCTAGGTGCTGCAGTTCTATTTTTTTTGCGCCCCCCCCCCCCCCCCCCCTCTGTCCTGTTAGGATGAGTTGAAGCTATACCGTGCACCTCCTTCGTCTGAGCCACGTTCTAGCTCTTTCGTACTAGTGTGTTGTAGATGTAATGCTTAAGATTCATTGTGTGCTATTGCTACAGGGTTGTGTATATATATACCTTCATCCTGTTTATGAGATGGCTTGTTGTTCTCTTTTGAGTCATGCCCATTTTGTAGTATCTTGGTGTTTTCCTTTCATATGCTTCTCCTGATTGGTTGCCACTCAATTTAGTATGCATGCAGAGGATTGGTCTGTTGGTTGCTCGCTTTTCTCACATATTGGTTATCCTGGTGACTCTTCAACTCCCCCCCTTGCTGGCATGACCAAACCCATTGCTTGAGCTAGGCATGTGGTCTCTCCTCCTTTCAAAGGCTTTGTGAGAATGTCTGCCAAGTTGTTTGCTGTTCTGACATGTTTGATCAGAATGTCTCCCTCCTGCATGTGTTCCCTGACAAAGTAATAATGCATGTCGATGTGTTTAAGCTTCCAGTGTTTGGCTGGGTCCTTACTCACCTGTATACATCCTTGGCTGTCAGTGCAGAGTATTGGTCTGATGTTATCAATACCCAGGTCTCACAGCAAATATGAAAAGAACAGCACCTCCTGTGCTGCTTCTGATGCAGCAACAAACTCTGCTTCTACAGCTGACAGGGCCACACATTTTTGCATGTGAGATCGCCAACTCACCAGGCTCCCATATAGATACATGATTGCTCCCAATGTACTCCTCTGACCATTTGTGGGGTCTGATGCCCAATTTGCATTGGTATATGTCGTTACTGTCTCCTTCTCCATATTTGCTCTCTTTCCTAGTTGGAGATGATATTCACTTATTTGATTTAGGTACTTTAGAGTGTGGGTTGCTGCATGCCATGCTCTTTTGACCAGAGTTGTCATGTGTCGCACTAAAACTCCTACTGTGAATGAGATATCTGGTTGCACTGTATTGGATACCCATAAGAGCTGTCCTACCAATTCCTGGTATTCTTTGCTTCGTGATGGTGAACATCTCTCTCCTCCAGCACTTGCAGTTATGCTTTGCATCAGGATCCAGGATTTCTTGGTCTCCTTCTGTAACCATCTGCTTACCATTGATTTAATAAATGCTGTTAGGTCAAGAGATATGCTCTTCTGGGTCCTGTCTCTTGTGATTTTGATTCCAATAAACTCTTTGATCTTCCCATTATCTTCTGTTCCCCACTTATTCATGATCTCCTTCTTGGTGCAATCCACTTCTTTGTGACTTGGTGAAGCTATCATCATGTCATCAATGTACACTGTGATGACTGTGATGTTGTCTCCAGTTCCTCTTGTATACAAGCAGGGTGTGCTTGGCATACAATGAAAACCCATTCTCTGAAGGTGTGAGTCCATCTCAGTGTTCCACTCTTGCCCTGACTGTTTTAAACCATATAATCCCTTTATTAGCTTGAGGACCTTTCCCAGTGGCATCTTTGTTCTGACTGGTGGCTTCAGGTACACGTCGTGCTGTAAGTTTGAGTTGAGGTATGCTTGTTTGACATCAATTGAATCTACCTCCCAATCTTGCACAGCCACCACAGCCAACACTCCTCTGATTGATTGAATCAGCACCACTGGTGTGAAGATTTCGGTATAGTTGACACCTTCTCTCTGAGTGAAACCCCTTGCAATGAGTCTTGCTTTGAACTTTGTGGGCACCAAGTTTGTGTCCATTTTCACTTTGAGCACCCATTTGGTGTTGACAGTATTCATGCCGATTGGGAGATCCATCATTTCCCATGTGCCCATAGCCTCTAAACCCTCCAGTTCTTTTTGCATTGCCTCCTCCCACAGCCTTTTGTCTGGCCCTGCCATTGCCTCTTGGATGGTTGGATTTAGGTTTCTTTTGCCTTTGTTGTCTGTGGCTGCAAGTCCGAAGGACTTGCCATTTGTCCACCCTTCAAGGTCCTGGCCTTCATTTGTGTTCATAGTCATTTCCATGTCCATGTACTCATTTTGTGGTTCCTGGTCCATTTCATCAAATAGATTCACTTCTGAATAACCCAAGTTCTCAGCATCTTCTTCATTTGTCATTGTTTGCAGCAATTGAACTTTTATCAGTTTCCACTCGGTCCGGTCTGACCAGCGTTTGGATTCCATGAACTTCACCGAGTTACTCCAGAATATGTGTCATGGGCCTGGATGCTCAAGAAGCAGGAGGGTCATGTCAGGGGTCTCGCGCCTGAAACCCAGGTCGGTCTGTCGAGATACTCGGTGACTATCAAACTGTGCGACAGCTATTGTCTCGGTATTGGTGACTATCAAGTTGTGCAGTGACAGCAGGTGGTGTTCGTTGTATATACTATTGTAGGTTTTGGCTGACCTCTGTGGACACTCCATTCAGGGGTAGCTCGGCACGATCACTATCAATGTTATGATGACACCAAGGTCTGGTGTGAGTGTTGATGATGATGAGGTTGATGGTGTTGGTGATGAGATTGGTGATGTCGATGATAATGAGGTTGATGGTGTTGGTGATAAGGTTGGTGGTGTCAACACGAGTGTCCAGTGTGTTGACTTGATGCTTGAAGTGATCCCTGGACCGCAGTGGACTACTGCCTTCGGTTCTATCTATATCCGGACCGCTAACCTGCTATGGGCGCCTACAGATGTCAGGTAGTGGTGATACAACACACACACTACGATGAGGAGCAACCTTGATAGATTGCTGCTATGCTGACTGTAACTAATGAGTACTTGTGTTTCTAAAGTATTGACTAGTTGTATGGTGAGTAGAGTGGATGAGGATCCACTCGACCTATGATGATGAGAAAGCATGGTTATATACCTCTACTCAGCATCGCCAGCGATGCTGCTCCTGCTCTCTCTCCAGAGAGTACCTTCTGTCATGGGCCTGGATGCTCAAGAAGCAGGATGGTCACGGGTTCATATGGAAGGAGCACAGGTATCGAAGATCTAGTCGAGATCAGTAGAGAGCATGGTCGTAGTGCAGTCTCCATGGAGACCATGGACTCCTATGGACTCACATGCAAAGGAGGGCCAAGCACAGCCACAAGGAGGACCAAGCTCAAGGAGCAGGCACAGCCACGAAGAGGACCAAGCTCAAGGAGCATGCAGATGGTTACCACTCAGGGGCTCGAGAGACAAGAGCCAAAGGAACTGTCACTGATCAAAGGAGGAGGAGCAGTGTCGAAGGAGTCGACATCAGGTCATGAGGAGGAGGAGCAGTGTTGAAGGAGTTGACATCAGGTCATGAGGAGGAGGAGCAGTGTCGAAGGAATCGACACAGCTCAAGAGGCACAGGGGTGCCAAGCAGGAGAGGCCCCTGAGCAGTACTCGATGAAGAGGGCACTCTCTGGAGAGAGAGCAGGAGCAGCATCGCTGGCGATGCTGAGTAGAGGTATATAACCATGCTTTCTCATCATCATAGGTCGAGTGGATCCTCATCC